CGTTTTTTCAATGGAATCATCTGCTACCGGTACTTGGTAATATCCGGATGCTAAGTCTAGGCCCGTGAAATACCGATTACCTCCTAACTTGTCAATTTGATCCTCAATCAATATAGGATAGGATACTTATCTTTTATCGTGATAGCATTAAGTTTACGATAATCTATACACATACGGTATTCACCGTTTTTCTTTTTCACTAATAAAATAGGGCTTGCATACGGTGAACTTGACTCGCGAATAATGTTGTGTTCTAAAAGTTCCTGCACTATCCCTCTCACTATCTGTTTTTCGGGTTCGGCTAAACGATAAGGACGATAAACAATTGGCACATCTGAAGTGCAGCGGATACTTAGTGACGCGGAATTTGTCTTTCCTAAGTTTCGCATCGACGAGGAAATGCAATCGCTGAATTCTTGAATGAGTTGACCGTATGGCCGTTGTGCCGACTTGGCTGTATCGCCTGTACTGACCTTGGTAGTTATTACATCCAAAAAGTTAGCAGTGACAATGTCGTCAGATGCATTCTTAATGAGCGCTAACTGCTTGAATAATAACGTGTTACGGCGCTTAATCGTTACAATATGCTCCTGTTCTAAAAAGTCTCGACCAATAATTACGTCATAATTAAGATAACAATCAGGTACAATTATTGCGTTAACTTGCGCCGATGCCTCCATAATCTGAACATTAATGAATGCTGATTTATCGCTTGTTACCAATTGTCCGGCAAAACCTTTCAGTACGACGTTCGGTGTTAACAATACAGTTATATTATATTTATCAGCTATGGATGCTCGCAACAATGTGCAGCTACTTCCCGTATCTATTAAGCCTCTAACCTTGTGTTGATTGACAAACATCGCTCGCTCATATAAATTCGTGGCACACTCGGCCCCTTTTACTACGTTCACGTTTTTCTGACGCGGACATTCGTTGCTACAATGCCCTAAGCGGTGGCATCGTTCGCATTCTACTCGCGGCTTCCGACACTTTTTTGCAATATGCCCTATGTTACCGCAATTAAAACATTTAATTTGGTGTTTGCCCTTATCCTTGTCGTCACTAGCCTTGTTATCCGTCGACGCTTCGTTTGAGGCCCGCGATCGACCCTGCTGCGACGCGTTCGAATGTTGCTCTTTTCGATCATTTCTATTACCAGATCCGAATACTTTACCTCTTTCGCTTTTTACCGGCACGTTTCCCAAAGTAGTCATGTACGCGTATAATGAGTTAGCATCGGTATGCTGCGCGGAACGTACCGTTCTTGCAACGTGTGTATCTGTAATTCCGCCGATTACTGCGTCGATTAAGTATTCATCCGGGATACTAATATTTAACTTACGTAACTTGTTTAATTTCTGAAAGCAATAGTCCCCAAGCGATTGACCCAGACTAGTTTCGTACAACGCGGCTTCCTTAAATAATTTGCTGAACGGTACAGACTTACGAAATTGTTGTCGTAATATTTCCTTTGTTTCTGTCCATGTAACAGCTAGTTGCTGTCGCGTATCGTACCATAATCGAGCATGGCCTTTCAAACGAGACGGTATCAATCTCATGATTGCCTTTTCGTCCCAATCGTACTGCGCCGCTAGTTCGTCCACGTGTTCGATCCATTTTTCTATTACAAGGTCATCCTTTGATGGATCGAATAAAGGAATCATTTGTTCGTCTCCTTTATGGATGCACGATCCTCGTGTCTGCGATCGCCGGTCCAAGCTTTCCACAATGCGTTCTAATTTATTGAAACGCTCATCTCGTCGCCTCTTCTCACTCTCAGACGTAGAAGACGATGACGAACGATCTCTTTTGCGTTTTGAGCTGCTACGCCCAGAATCACGCCGTGACTTATGGCGACCCATTTCCGCCGACAGATTCGTCGTATCACTCAGGAGGTCGCAAGTATTAAGCACGTTGTTTTATCCCACTTCTGATTTGTTAGAAACTTTTATAATATAAGGGGGTGAGGGAGTCAAACCCGCTTTCTAAAAACAAACTGAATCGTACTGAAAACTATTTATTGGTTATTCCTCTTATAAAAACGTTAGCTTTATACCACCGTTGTAACGGGGGATTAGTCGCGCAATACTGCTAAGACACGCATGCTGCTATGCGTGCATCGATTCCCCCTCCATGGATCAGGGCCGTCTCGATATCCTAGCTGCGGCGCTCCGTTGGGCTGTAGCCCGCGCTATTTGAATTTTATTTTAGAATATTTCCAACAGAAACTTAGAACGGAATCTTTCTCTCCGTTGTACTCTTTAGAACCGAACAAAATTTTTAAAACCCCGCCGACTGAATTATGCAGTTTTTCGCCGGCGAATGCTTTTACGTAGCACTGTTTGTCGTAGACACAAACAGGTGCAGTCAGGTAGCAACACGGCCTGTTCGCGCCGGCGACCGGTAAATCGCGAGATTATGTAGCATCGCGTTCGCGGAGCTGCTCGACGAGGCCGCTCGTTATGCAAGAGCTCGCGTACTCATGTTTATTCTCGCGCGGCCGTTCTTTTATTCCGCTTTGCATTTTCGCTGCAGTCCCAAGTGTGTCTAAATTCGCGCGAAACGCCATTCGTGCCACGTCAGTGACACGTAAAAGCGATTTCGCCGCGCGCGGGATAACGTGATTTAATCCCTCGAAAAAACAATCTGCGAAACGTGGAAACGTTTAGAGATTACCAAGCGTGATTTCCGAAACATTCGTTACCAGGTGCTTTTTCCTGTACGGAATGTTGAGACAATTAATAGAGTAAATCCCCATAAATTCTAGCTTCTGGATTTCAGATACGACATTCAAAGCGAATCTCACAGGTTATGAAATTATTCTGTACCGCAAAAATTTTGGTAAATTTGGTAAATGTATGTAATGTACACGATTTTATAAATTTTGCACTATTTTGTAGGAGCAATGCAGTACTGAAAAGTGCTCTTTCGACAACACATTGTAAGCCGTTACAATTTCAAGCTGTACAATTCCTCGAATTCTTTTACAGTACACTCTCATTCCGAACACTTCGCCGCAATTTTTACAATTTTCTGTTGATTGGTGTGAATTGAAACTAATCCGGCTGAAATGAATAAAACATGATTTTTGTATTGTAACTGAAAGAATTAATAACGATGTAAGTGTCTTTAAAGTCGGCGAAAAACCAACTGTTACTTCATGACGCACGTGAGCTGAAAACCAGACCGGCGAGCACGTCGTTAAACGCCGCCCTCGCGCCGAATTCTACTCTCCTTTCAACAAGATTTCTTTCAGTCCTAACAAATCGCCACGACGCTTTCCAAAGTACCTCCGACGTTCGGCTTTAATCCACAAAGGGTTTCTCTCCGGCTTTCCGCGCTCTCTCTCTCTCTCTCCCCGTGTCTCGCGTTTCCTTTCACGATGCACGTCGGTCGTCCTCGCCTTCCGAAGATTATGTGCCGACGAAGTTGATCAGCGTCTCGGCCTCTCCGTGCTCATTACCGCCAGACGCCGACGTCTTAATAGCGCGAATTTAGCGAGGAAGGATGTTTAAGAACGGCCACCGATGGCGAACGGCAACGATGAGCGATAAAACGCTTTTTCTTCGCCATAAGCGCCGCGCGTTATCATCGTTAGCGTCCTCCTCCAACGTCGTTCTGCGTCATTATCCACCGCCCGATACTTTAAGCTATGGAAAGTGAGATTCGCTGCCAACTCGGATTATGCTCCACTCGCTCTCTATCCTCGCTTTAAAATTCTATCCGCGGCCGAAATTAGAATCCAAGTACTCTTTTCCGTCTCTCCTTATGCAAGTGGGAGGAGATAATTTAGCCCTTTTAATGGCCGATAGTTTATCGCTACAAGTGAATTAAAAATAACTCTCTTGCTACGTAAATGAAGAATATTATTCTTTATTAGCATTTTATGCTTAAATTTAAATATGATAATTTTACCAGTTTTTAGACGAAGAATATTATATAAAGCAATTTTTCGTAAATTAATTATAAATATAGATAACCAAAGGTCGGATTATTTCTGTATTATAATTAAAGATCTATTTATTCTGCATATTTATTCTTATTTAATGTATTTTTTCTTAAAATATAATGTGGTCCGTTTGAAAAATAGATTTGTGAGTTGAAATCCATTAATAAAAATAGCTCTCAATTTCCGTAAGAATGTATCATCCCTTTACTTCTTCTGCTCACCTGCCCTTCGACACTTACAATCACTCTCGAAATTAAGTAGCTATAAAGTTCCTCAGAATTCGCACAAATAAGAGCGGAATCCATCGAGTCTCGAAGTGAATTACGCCTCAAGATATATGTCTCATTCAGAGTACATGAGCCTGCATATCGAATCTTTTCACTAGTTCGAACGCGCACCCAAGTTCCACCCAATTGAATCGGTGAATGTCTCCGAGTAATATGGAAGGAAGAGTCCTTCTCCGCGAAATGTCGAAGTTCAACCACCCGCACCGTGCATACACGTCGCGCATCTAATACGCAGCGCCTCGCCCTTATCTTACGCAGAACGGTTCGATACTCGTCGGCATAATGCAATTTCTTCATGTATGCGGGTGTCTCGTCTCGCTTACTGCCGGTATCGTGATTTTGTTAGGGATTAAATGCGACAGATGGAACTTCTCAGTCGCTTAACGACAGTACCTTGAATAAATCTTCCTCGCGTCTGCGAGATTTGAGTAAGAAAATTATGTTGTGTAATTTTCAATCAATAATATTGCGAATCGATAATCCTGAATTAAATTCAGAATTTAATTAATTAATAATCCGAAGTAACTTTAATTAAATTATCCGTTATTCATCAGATGAACTAGTTGTTCCCGCTGCGAGAAATTAATACGGTTACTGGAATGTAGATACCAGGTGTCATTTGAAACGGTATATTATATCGAAGAGCGGCTGCTTTTAATTAAATTTTTATCAAACGCCGTAATATGTCTTTGCATATTCAATAACTAGCGTTGACAACGGTAGAAGACAGTTGTTTGATGTGGATAAATTTGTTTTTGCAGCTGGAGCCGCTCCTGAGGAAACTAACCAAAGGTCCAGTTCTGCACACAATCGCCACTCTCTCACGAAGGGTAAGTTCGACATCGAATGCAATGAATTGCATTTAGGGCACTCTTGTTTGCTAAAAGCGTGCGGCAATATCTAGCGCAGCACTATATTCCACCGAATAGAAAAAGTCACATTGTATCTCGAAATGGAAATGGAAATACACACTTTGCAGACAGAATTATATATTTTTGGTGATAATAATTAAAAAAAATACTTTAACAGGCAATCTTTAGAATTATATATTTTTGGTGATAATAATTTAAAAAAATACTTTAACAGGCAATCTTTAGAATTATATATTTTTGGTGATAATAATTTAAAAAAATACTTTAACAGGCAATCTTTAACATTTCTACAAATATGCGGAAATGTTATTTCAAACCAATGTCTTCATTACGAGATTGATGCGAGATACAACATGGTGGTTAAGAAAATGTTCGGTAGCTGGTGCTCTAGAGTTTAGTTTGCCTAGCTTTTTTTCACCCAACTACCTCGATGTATCCTGGCCGGCTTGTGTCAAAATTCTAAAACGCCGGCCCGTGAACTTTTCATTACTTCATAGCGAGCGCGATGCTCGAGGATATACCTCTCACAGTGGCTTTTTGCATTTACACGATGGATTTGGGCGCGATGCAGTTTTTAATATCGTATCCCACGTTTGCCGACGTTTCTGTGGCGCTTGACAGCACAGCTTGAACATTTATTTGTGGTACAAATGGTTACACAGGCATACAAGTCGGGTATAGGCCAATTTTTATTCGAGAGTCCTGCAAAAGCACTTTAACACTTCGATGAGTATGTCGTAGTTTTCGCGTTCAAAGTGCGAAAAAATATGGACTACTTATAGAGATACGGTATTATCACATTATCACGATGTTGATTATTATATTGTCACAAATTTGTTAAAAATGCATTTGTTAATTAGTTTTAATATATTTTTATATTCTTTTGTCTCTTAATTCTCTTAGTTAGACTGAACAAATACTGAATATTCAGCGTAAATTGTGTTATATTTCAACTATATTTAAATTCTGTAGTAATATAAAATGATTACGAAATTATGAAATTCATCTGTTTACTCTGAAAATTAAATCCATTTTGCGAAAATGCATGAAAAAGATTAGTTCGCGCAAAACATTCTCGAATAAATTCATAGTCTTTCGCGAATTTTAATCGAAACGCTTTATCCAACCGCTACGTCACCGATATTCCAATCGATAACGATATTAATCTCGCGCGGAAAACCGCAGAATCGCGTCGAATCCAAAGTACGTATTCCAAATCGCGATAGATAACGAATGCAATCCTGCCGATTCTCCCAGCGAAACGGTAAAGTGGATTTAATAACGTCTTACTTCCACTCCGTAGCTTTATCAGAGAAGTCGCTAGTTTAATCAATTGTTGAGAGAATCCGTGAAATCGATAATAAGTTCTTCGCTCGGTCGTGCACGGCGGTGTGTTCAAAAAATCAATAAAGGACGCGATGTAATTTATTGCGCGATTGCGTAATTAGATACGTCTCAGTGACTGATGTAATTAAATCTAAATCAACGAGCTTCATGCGCCGAACAAACGTATGTGTAATCCGTCGGACAATTCATTAAATTTAATATTAAATTTAATTGTATTTTCTTAAAAATACGATAGAATTTGTCATATTTTAACATTGCGTGTTATCGGAGACATGCTTAAAAAGAGAAAAGTGGGAGGGTATATTTTTTTCATGGAAAAGAAATATTCATACGTACATTTCTCTCTCCAGACTGTTTTTTTTTCCTTTTTAAAAACTGTCGAGATACTTACGAAGAGTTTAAAGTGCTTTTATTTATATAACCAGCGGACGAAGAAGAATTATCAAGACTTTAAATTCGAAATTTCAACGGCATTATCCGTGCTTAAAGAGCACGTTTATTCGTTAAATATTAGTAAACCTACCTACACAGTAGCACCCTAGGGAATGAAAAATGAGGATAATTCCTAACCATCACCCTTTTTCGCCTGCATTAAAACGGCCCACACACAATTACCACAGGCTTGTTGAATTATTTGTAGCTGAATCGAGATAAACATGAAATTTCTGAAAAATATTTCACGTTGAATACTGTATAATTAATAAGCAACGTACTATCTAAAAATTAAACTATTAGTAGCAGCTGAAGATTATAAAAAAAAGGATATAGCTTAAAGCAAAATTTTATTAAAGCAGAATTTTTCATACGGATTGCTCATTGGAAGGTAAATAGTGCATTGTCTATAATCTTTTTACCTATAATCAGACATATTTCCCCGAACGTGTACTACGTCTGAACATCTTCGCGTCACTCTGCACATTAATTATCACTTCGGCAAACGCGAAAGAAAAGATCATCGCACACAACACGAGAGCGAACTGTGTTGCTCGAGTCGTGCGGCAATGCCTTCTTAAAAAGTCATTTCTTAAACCGACGTGTATTTGTTCGCGTTTTCCGACACCGTCCTTCGAGCAAGGTGAATAAGATAGAATAGCCGGAGGGATGAATGGAGGATTCGCGAGGTAAAGCCGGAGGTAAAGAGAGAGCGCAGAGGGACGGGCGGGGGATCGGAAAGACAACTTTCGTAGCAGCAAGGGATGGAAACGATGACGGATTTCATTGTTTTCCGACCCACTTCCAGACGAAGGGAGATTAACAGAGGCGCGTGTATCCACCGGCGGATTTTGCAGCGCTTGAGCCCTCGAGACGATCGCGGCTGCAGCTTTGCGATAGATGCGCAAGCCCGAACGAGCGCATCGCTCTATGCGCCGCCGGCCGTCCTCCATTCGTTAAATTGTCTCGGTTATCTCGTTGCCCATCGATTCTTCTCGCGCTTCAAAATTGCGGACGCACTGTAAACATCGTCAGGGGATCTTAATGAATATCTACGTAACACTGTGTCGCAGAGGATTGCTTCTCGCAACAAGAAACTTATTGCAAATGGGAAAACAATTACATTTTCAATATGCGTATAAATGAAGCGTCACAACTCTTTTGTAATCTTAAAAATCGCCAGGTTAAAAAAATTTAACTTAAACTGTTCGCTGATGAACGCGCCTTCTTTTTGCAATAAATATTGCAAAAAGGAGGCGCGTTCATCAGCGAACAGTTTAAGTTAAATTTTTTTAACCTGGCGATTTTTAAGATTACAAAAGAGTTGTGACGCTTCATTTATACGCATATTGAAAATGTAATTGTTTTCCCATTCAGGAAATTTATGAATATATCACATTACAATGAACGTAATTATGCAGACTTTTTCAATATTTCGCAGTCCATGATTTTAAGTCTAATATCTCGCACGTCACATTTGCGCTCGACCGCCTTGTTTTTCACTCGCCATTTCATTCCGACCGTCAAAAGGGGAGAATTAACGGCGATATTGTGCGAAGGACAGCTTTCAGAGAGATGGATCGGGGCTCATTGTGCGTCTACGCGTCTCCGAATGACGGAAGATTAACTGCTGCGGGAACTGCGTGCAATGTTAGGCAGCGCATTTCGCGCGACTGCGTTCCACAGAAATGACGCTTTGACGAAACAGCGACGTATCATTACCTCCATTCTGACGTCTTGTGAAATTCCTTGCTCTCCGCCGAAGGAGAAAAATCTTTTTGATCGGGATAATGGGCGGAACAGGAGGGAATCGAGGCGTGCTTTTCCGCCGTCGCTTTCATCTGTTATAGGAATGCAGTTGCATAACCTGTGCGAGACGCACAAGGTTCTCCGTATTGTATCAGATTAACGTTGTTTATCCCAATATCGGTTCTGAAACATATAAGTGCTACACGTTATATTATTTTCCATTAATAATGATTAAACTTTCATAAATATTTCATCGTTTTTCAGAACGCTCCACTCGAACGACTTTATAATATCGAGTTACTTCAGTGATTCGATTTGGAGCTGTATTTTAAATTACATTTGCATGCAAGGGAATTTTCTATCTTCGGTAAAAGAAAAAACAGCTTTTCACTACTACGTGTTATTTAAAAAATTCTTCGCTGCTTGCAATCCATCATCGAAAACTTTTCCGTACGTTTCCGACATGATTCAGCATTCGTGAATATCCTCTCGTTCTCGCAGAGCTCGCATTTTTTCTCTCTTTCTCTCTCTCGCTCGTTCGATTTCACGTCTGCATTACTAATGACATGTCTAATTATCATCAGCGGTAGGTCTATCCTTTTTTTCTCTTCTTCGCACTTATTCCCTCTCGCCTAGCATTTGCAATCAACGGCCGGAAACTATTGGCAGCCTCCGACGGTCGTTCTCGATGACGTTTGTCGAAAACGAATCATCAACGAAAAAAAAATAAGCCAGCCACATTGCAATTAGCGACTGCAACGGCTGTAAGCGGGAGAGTGCGGTTTCTATCGAATTGATGTAACATCAATGAATGACGAACGACTTCGTAATCGGTTATGTGTGCGTGAGATAACGAGTTGCCAATCAATACTTCGCCACTTGATGAAAATGTAATTTCGTGGATACGTAGAAATTTATTAATGAGCGACCTCATTGCGGACAGGTAAAATTATTTATAGATACGTAATTATTCATCGCATTCACGTAGTAGATTGAAAGTTGTTACTTTCTAATTATTAACGATGATAAAGAAGATATGTAACCAATTTGAAGAAGAGATGGAAAGAGCGTTTTGAACAATCCTCCGCGGAAATGATAATCAAGCGTGTAAAGTGTGTCGCAATCGAAACGTTGCAACGTGATACAATGTGCGCGATAAGCGTCATCTTTGAGTAAACGATATTGACTTAAGCCAGTCGAGTGTAAACACTGCAGCGATGCACTTTGATATCTCCTCTTTTGTGCTCGCAAAGCCCGCGATTGCGCGCCTCTCGCCGATACAATGACAGTGCTTATTGCGCGACCAGTATCGCCGGCGGACCGGAGCTTTATTTGCACAATAACTCCCGGAGAATCGTATATCCTCGAATTTGTCTTCCGCAGAGCAAACGATGCACTGGTTTGCCCAGATCGGCAGTGACGATGATCCTCTCGCTTTGCCAGGTATGCAGGTTTGATCGGTGTGCGCCGATAACCGGTTGAGTGCCTTGTGTGGAACTTTGCACGGACTTGTCGCGCCATTTCCATTCGAGAGAACCCGCGCGCGATTGTGCAGCCCAACTTGTTAGCGCCGAACTTTTGTCAAATAATTGATCGAGAAATTAAAGATAATATTATGGTTATATTTTCGTTATCGAGAAGACCCGATGAATCGTGATTTATGTTATAAAAGATCAACGCGCGACTAATATGCTCCAATTTGCAATTTGGAATTAGAACAGCTGATATCAATGCAGTTGGAAGGATTAACGTTATTCGCACAAATCCGTCCCATATTCACGCCTTTATGTAACGAAAAATGATTCTGAATTTTATTCGCAACGATCGTATTTAACTGACTGTAAATATGGCACGAGAATCGGGCAATCGCCGCATATGAGCGTGGAACGTGTACTGTGAATATGGGTCGTGACACACATTTCTTCTCCCAGCTGCAACCCGCGAAATGATATTGCTTGTAGTTCACAATTGCCGATATGCGTGTGCACCAGCCTGTCAGTTGCTATTCCCGAGCTATTTAGCAGAATCGAACAGTTTTCATGGATTTTTCGGTCAGCGTTATTTGCGGAAGTCGTGAAAAACAAATCCATTCACGGTGGACAGCAAAGCTAACGGATCGTATGATTCGGCAATTGTATATTGGAATGCGTGTTTCAACGAATAATTAACACCTCCCGGCTTGAGCGCTAATCCTTTGACGACTTTATGAATATAACAAACGTTGGTGAAGTTTATGGAGTTTATGAAGTTTATGTTTTTTGCATATTAATATTGCGAAAGTTGCATCCCATTTAACAATTACAGCTGTAATGTATAAGATTCCGCATATTATAAATTATACTTCTTGAAGATTGTAAAAATGTTCATGCGCTAAAAGCGGATTACCTTACAGTGAATTACGTTTTCTTGTAATCCTGATGTTGTCCCTTGCATTTCCCCTGTCAAGATTTCTTGCTGTACTATCAGATTACGCTAGACACGTGAAATTTTCTGTGTGGAATTATCTCTTGATCCATGTAATAAAGTCGTGCAACCAGCAATTTTTTACACAGGTCGCTTTGAAAATTTCTCGATGAATGCGGCCGTCGTTTTTAATATTGCGCTCAGTAGAAAAGATTTCGTTGTAGGTATGTCATACGAAGCGATAACATCGTTTTCATCGTGCTTGTAAAATGAGGACTTACGGAACGATGTTGCCCGAAGAGCGGATTTATTCGCTCTGCAGTCTTTTCTCACTGTCCGATTATCTTTTTCGAGGAAATTAAAAGGCGGACGGGAGAGAATTGTAATTCCATCGCGCACGATGAAATTATAGAAGATTGAGAAAATGGAATCTGTCATTTTATAAAATAGAAATATCGCAAAGATAATATTACAATTTAAACGGAGAGAAAAACCGTAGAAAGAAAAACGCACCTTGTATTAATATTGTGACAATTAATCACTAACAAATAAGCATGGATTTATTTTATCTTTAGTTTTTTTTTTTTTTTACTCCTTTTTGTTTTTAAATCTTAATTGTATTATTAATGAAATATCGTATTTGCATTATGTATCTCAGAAGTTAACAGAACCTAGTGATATTAAAACCATTCACGATGCACTCATTATTCTTCTTCGCCGTTATCCAGCAGCCTTTGCATTAACACGAGCAACCACATGTCGCATGTAAAATCACTCGCTTTAACTGCGCGTGTACACATTTGCATACCGCCATACACGGCGGATGCATGCCATAACATGCATTCATACACTCATTCATTCATCCGTACGTGCCGCAGTCTTAATACTCGAATCTTATGTGCACACGCACATGTCTCGCTTTCTTCTCGGCAGATGTGAAGCGCCGGCGAAGCTTCTACGACGAGGACTCCCTCGACGGCGATCGTCCTTACGAAAATGAAGGTACCAACGTTTTCAAGGGCACTGTACAGACCTTTACGTTCCCTTTTCCTTCTCACTAGATTCTTTCTCTCTCTCTCTCTCTTATTTCAATGGCGCGCATCTCTTATTTTGATGATTAACGAACCATCAGCGCCTCTTAACACTTTTAACATCAGTTTTGACAGATAACGGTGGTAGTTATTATGTTTCACGTTTCTTTCGCATATTTTGATTTAATACGCTAAAATTTTATTCATGCTAGAAGTACATTTTTTTAATATGAAGCACTTTTATCGTACAATAAATCTTTTTTATCTTGGATTGTACATTTTGTAAATAATTATTTTCACTATCATATCGACGTATTGTAGATTTTTTTGTTCTAGTGAGTAGTGAGATGAGGTCAGCACATTTCCCTAATTATTTTATTCCTATTCCTATCTTAACATATAAGTTATTTTTAACAATTTATTATTTATGATAACATTTCTTTTAACACATTTATTTGAATTGCTGTGTTAAATTTTTATTAATTTATCTCTTATCTTATTTTTCTCAGTTTAAAATTACTCGGATATAATTACGCTGCAATACATTTGTCTGAAATTATTTAAGACTCTTCTTATCTTTTATACTGTTTGATACACATAATTGTTTTCATTATTTACACTTGCTTATTTTTATACTAAACATATAATTGAGTAAAGATATAATTACAAATTGCTTCGTATAACATTTTAAAAAGAGAAAAATGCGTTTGTCTTTAACCGAGTTTTACCTGGATCGAAAAGTGTACGATACAAACTAAGTATTTGCAACTAGTTTGGACAGTCGGACAGCGAATAAAGTTCCCTTTGCGTGGCTGTTCTCAGGACGGGAGTCGACGGGAAGCTCGAAGGATTTGGACAGGGCGAAGCTCGTCCGCGAGAGGCAGAACGAGGAGCGGCAGCGAAAGCTGGAAGAGCTCAGGCAGCAGGCGCTCGCCGCGCAACGCTTCCGCGAGCAGCGCGAGGAGGAGCGACGAAGACGAATCGACGAGCTCAGATCGCGTGACAACGACAGGTTTGTTATTCCCGCTGGAAGCGTCGAATTCGACAAGATTTATACTTGCTCCAACGAATTGCTCCAATTAATGTCTAATGAAAAGCGAAAAAAAAACGTAGTTTTAACTTTTACGCGCGTTAATTACTTTCTAAATTTTTTACGAGAAAGATTAATGTATCGAGAAGAATCGCTTTCTACTCCATTATAATAATCACGCTTGGATATTTTATTTGCGCAGACGAAATCAAGTGGAGGAGAGAAAACGGCTAATATGCGAGGCGGAACGAGAGAGACGGGAGGCGATCCTTCGCAAAAATCAGGAAAGGGAGGCGCGTATCGAAGCGAAGAGGAGGAACGAGAGGTCGCATATCGTCTTTGCGTTTGGCAGTTCCACGCCGCGGATGCTGGAGCCCGCCGACACCGGCGGCGCTACCTTCTGGGGCACTCGCAGGGCCACCTCCACCACCAACGTCATGATGTTTTCCGCGGCACAACCCCTCACGAGGAGGTCCTCCGAGCGGGAACTGGACGGCAGCAAAAAACGAGCCACTTCCGCCGGCGGGCTCGACCGAAAGCCCGGCGAAGGTCAGTCGATATGTCTCTCCAAAATATCAATCAAATCGCGCGAATTCACGGTGAATTTCACCGAGGAGCAATCGAGGGCGATCACATTAATGTGAACACGTAACTACACATCGCACATGGAAATTCGATTAACCCTTTCAGCGCGCGATGTTAAACTTGCTGTACATTTGAGCATTCTATTCTACGAGAACGATTTTCGATAAAGATTCTTTGGCAGATTCTGAAGAGGATAGGAATTTCTGAACAGTGCATATTTGCATTTCTTATTTAAGTTGGAAGAAATATATATTTTGTTCGATACGTATCGCGCGATCATTTAATCTCTTAAGACTGCGTATTACAAACGCATTGATAAATTCTATATTTAATTAGTATTATATTTTTTATTTTTTTTTTAAGGACAGTGTGATTTTCATCGTATCTTCTTTATCGAAATATTTGCAGTTGACGTGAATAATGTGAAGCTCTCTGTGCTCGATTTATCAAAGAGATTAAAATGTAAGAGTCTAAAGATTATCTCATAAAATATGCGCGCATATTTATACGTAGTATAAAATATCCGGGCAACAGCTGAAAGTGTTAAAGGCTTTTCCGTATCTCGTGCGGAGGATGAATAATACACACATGGTGTGTTGTGCTGCACCGTGCACCGGTAGAATGCAAATTAGTATTTACTGTAAATTCAGTCGGATGTCGAAACAACAACGATGAACAGCTCAGAAGCAGAGATTTAGCGTCGTGCTTCAATGTAAGTATAAATACGCGCCGCGATACGTAGACTACATATTTATCGCGCAATGACCGACGGAGGGGTGTCAGGTGATTAATCAGCCGCTTTCGAAATTAAATGTACGGCGATAATTTCAATTATTTTTCGCGATTATTATTTAATACAGATTGCAATATGGTGCGCCGATCAAAGGAGCGAAATAATTATTTCGTATCAAATTACTCAATCGTTAAATATGGAAGGAAATTTTATTGTAAATTGCGAAGTAGCGCAAATCTGTTCCAAAGAAGTGAATCGTGTCAACGAATCCTCTCCAGCCGTTTCCTCTCTGCTTGCTCCGAGCGTTTACTATTTGTTTAAGCGTTCGCCGTATGTGTTGATGATTGATGTTTGTCGCTACGAAAATATTTCTCTGTCATGTCGACGTTTAGAGATGTCAAGCTTGTCGGATAAATGGGACAAGGAAGCGACTCGTATCTTCTCAGCCCATATTTTTATACACACGATCGCTTCCGATATCTTTGATAGCGATATATTTTTCTTAGTGGCAATCGATATCATCATGTACAAAGTGGAGAGAGAGAGAGAGAAAGAGAGAGAGAGAGCTTCATCGCGGAAGATGCACGTTAAAAAACGCGATCTTGCTGCGTAATATCTGTTGTACATCATTTTTGACGCAAAAGATATTTTGACTGAAACGATTGCATCGCGCTTAATAAAATATGTAAACAGTTGCTATGATCAAAATTAATATATAGGTAAAATAATAAACCCAGGAACTATCGCGTGATTTTTTTTTATGATAAAGGTCACGAGGGGTCTTTCTTTTTTAAACCTTATTTAAAGGTCGCACGGAGTCTTTTTAAATCTCATTTAAACGTCGTTTGTATTTTATAGATTGTTATTCAAGAATATTACAGATGCAGACTTTTTTTATTACGCATTAATTTCTGGAAAAAGAAAGAAAAAAATGTACTAAGAAATCAGAATGAGTGCATTACACGGTTTATTATTACAGCGATTCCTGGGAGCTAAAAAACTCTCACGCAACCATTTCCGGAATAGATTAGTCCGTTGCAGAATTAAGTATTGGTTGACTCGCGTGTCTTGAATATCATTCTTCGACATGGTTGATAAATAGTTTTAAAATATTTCCGTTATAAGCCGTAATATGGAATTACCGCCACGCAAAGCTTTTTCACACGATTATTCACGGCGGAAGACGACACCACGCGAAGCATGAAAAAACTATTGTCCAGCACTACTAGGAGTCTGTAACGCGACCTCGCCCAAAGCATAAATTTTACTTTTGGTTCTTTACTTTCAGGTTACACTCTCCACAGCCTATTCTGTGTACATTCTTACGCCCCTTCAAACGATAGCCGAATTCACGTGTATTTTCAGCTTGAGATTGATTACACGGCGAATGTTGAAAGCGTCTCTTGACTCCCGCGAGATAAGTCGCAGGTTTTGCTTTTTAACGCGACAATATTTGCGTTTACCTTTTCTTTACACTGCACACAGATTGTTTAGCATTCATCCCGCTGCATCATCGCTCGTTTTTTTTTTATCCGAACATTGTTTTCTTTTATTTTTCCCCACAGAGAAATAACATCTTAGAAACTGGGGAGGGAAACTAAAATGGCAGATTAGTTTTTAACCGTGGCTACTAAATCTTTTCTCTGCACATATTTCTTCTATTTATTGTCCTCCATTTGCCGGTGACGGTGGTTCTGCAAAGCGAGGTGTATTGAAAGTAAGATAAGAAAAGAGCCAAGGGGAAAGCGTGCAATGCGCACTGTATCTAACACACGCTAATACTTTGTACTTTCCCACTTTTTTCGCCCGCTCATCCCGCTCTATTCGGAATTTTTTTTCGCGGAACACCTAATATTTCTGTTGCGTTGAATGGTTTGTTCGCAGATATGAGAATGTCCTCGTCCATGTACGAGGTGTTCAATTGGAATTCTAGCCCCGATCCCCCCTTAACTCCTGCCAAGCATAAGAGAGCCAGCCTCTCTCTGCCCCCACAACCGACTCTTTGCCGTCGATGATAAGTCCGATAGCGACATTAGGCGTCCTATGATTCAGCGGGCTGCCAGTGGTGAGTCCTGATGTCTCAGAAGCCTGCAAAAATGCCAGGAGAGATCCGTTCTGTTCGTCTCAAGAATGAATATTGTCGATCCTTCATCTTTCGTTTTGTCAGCACTTGTTCTCATCGGGCTCTCCTTTCTCTTTCTCTCTATCTCTCTTTCTCTTCTTCTTCTGCGTTATTATGTCTTTTTTAAATCACTACACACTCTGCCGCGGCGCATGTCACATTCATTTAACACAGTAAGAGCATACTTTCTCTTATTATAGTTTCTGTAGTTTCGTTTCCGATTGTATGGTATTGGTGAGATGGATCTTGCGATTTCTCGAGGGACCCATTGTAACCACGTGTGAGTTATCGCGTGGCAGCCAATATCACGCAACGGTGTGTTGTTAGTTTGTTTATCCGTGTGCGATCCTTACTAACACGAATAGATCGATCACACTATTAATGTTTAGTTACAACGTGTGTTTTGCAAGCAGAACCTTAGCCAGTTTAGTTTCAGCAATGCGCAATTCGATACGTTACTCGCTAAAGAATTCAACTCAACGTACCTGAGACACAATTTGATGAGAGTAGCGAAGTTAGTGTTTCGAAGGAAAGATATTTAGAAATTAGAATGTTCGAATTAGGATATGTGGGCTTTGAATGTTATCACGAATACGGTCCTACCGAATAATTATTAATCATGTTTAACCTTTTGTTCGCATTGCTTCATATTCAAACATATACTCATATACTCATATCGATACACTGTTTAGTTATTGTTTATTAGCAGTTAACCTATCGTTAAATATAATAATTAATTGTGTAATAGAATAGAATTTTCCAACTTAACGATAAAAGATGGTACTTGTAATAGAGGAAGCTTGAATCGATTAATTATGTCGTTTCTTTGACAGATTTGTAATCGTCATTAGAATTTGCCGCTTGCATGAAACAGGCTCCTCCTTGCATTTCCAGAAATTTCTTTCGATCAAATCCGTTTATTACCTCGCTTTCTTCGTGCTGCTTAAAATATATATCGTAGCATATTTCTCTTTACAAAAACCTACATGAGCCGCGTAATCTTTAATAGTTACATGCACTTGATACATAATGATTTACGTACATTGAGAGACGAATACTTTTCACGAAAGAAGTCTCTCAGAAGACATTTTTTCTTATTATTATTCATCAGAGAAGTTCTCCACGTCTGCAGCGTAAATTTCGAGCGAACCCTTTCGCAACATAGAGTTCTAAACAAAATATCTCTCAGTGTACCTCCGCGTCATCTTTATGCGCCACAGCATGAAAAGCAAAGCTATACATACAGTACGGAAGTAGCGAAGAAAAAAAAAAAAAAAAAAAGAAAAAGAATAAAAATCGTCAAAGCAGCTCTTTTACCCGAGTGTCTTCGTAGTGCGAGCCGCGCCCGTGCATTACACGCGGACCGACGAATGTCGGCTTCGCAGTACAGGCGACCCTAAGCGAGACTCTTTGCAGGTGAAGATAGCGACGGCGGCGGCACGCCCAGCACCCCGAGCTCGGTTTACCTGCGAGTGAATAGGAGACGCACCGACCTCATGCCGACGATACCGTCCCCGCGCGACGGCCCGCCGTCGGCGGCACGCAGCTCCAGCGCCAAGGCCTTCACACGCTCGCCAGGTAGGACTTACTCCATGTCCAGGCTGGATCAGCTGGCGCAGCCTAGGAAGCGCGCGACCGAGCAGCCGCTCGGCACGCTGACGGAGCAGCGGCAGCAGAGCCAGCCGCTGCAGAGCGCTTCTAGCATGAGCCGCAGCATGTCACACTTAGCCGCGCCCGGGGTGGCCAAGAGCCTCAAACGATCCGATAACTCGCGTAGCATGGGCACGCTGCCGGGCGCGGTGCCCACGCCCAGACCCACCCGCGCCGAGAGACTGCGCCGCAAGGCCCGCGAGTACCAGCAGGCCCAGCAGCAGCAAGGTAAGTGCGCGGCCGTGCACTCAACTCGACGCTCTCGGATTTTTCCCACCAAATCGCGCTTTCTGTACATAGTACTCTCGTTTTTTGCGATCAGCTAGCAATTACTGTCGTTTTTGCACCGAAAGAGAGTAGAATTTTTTTTATTTTTTATTGTAGATAATTACAGACGGAATAGCTGCGCTAGAGATGAATTTTTTTGTTTTTCGTTTATCTCGTAAGTGTTAATATTCCCTTTTGCGCGCTGTAGAGACAATTTTCTTCGATCGCAGCTTTTCTCGGACTAAGTAATCGCCCGTTTCGCTTTATACTAATTCTCTCGCTGCACACAGTCGGACTTATCGCTTAACGACAAGCTAGATTGGCACATCGTCTTCGGACAGAAAGGGGGTTAATGTTGTAAATAAGAGTTACATAAAAGTTAACTAACAGAATAACGTACATGAATGCACTCATTGTCTAACAAGAAAACTTCTATCATCTGAGTTGAGTGCACACATGCGATAAGTGTGCAAAGGAGTCTTTGTAAATCAATCGGGACGACCAATTACATTTAATGGCGCGAAGATAGGAGGAAAAGGCGGTTTCTGTCCTTCTAATTTCAAGCCGTAAAATATTAATTCATATACTTTTACATCTACTATCACTTTTTCACATGACTAACTCATCGACTTTGGAAAGTTTCTATACTTTTCGATATTACATTCCCACATCAGACTTGTCAGATTTAACATTAAGAGCCAGTTGCATCCACGATCTGAATTAAGAAACCAGCTTTATTTGCTTGATTCCTTCTGTAGGTCTAATGCTAAGAAGCAAAAGTTAATTAAGCGTTGTTAGCGCGAATCGATTCTGATGCAACCGGCTCTTTGATCTCCGAATTGATTAACAAAACGCTCCCACTAAGAAGAAGACCTCTCTCAGCGGTTTTTCGGTACCAAGGGTGAAGGTATGAGCTAATGTTTCGGTAAGCTGCACGTTTTCTTTATTCCTTATATTATTATTAATATGGCTACGTATCTCGCAATTCACGTAGTACTACATAGATTCGCAATTCACTCAGTACGTTTAGTGTGCAATTTGTTCCTAGTTAATCCACTTTGTTCGATTACAATTTTTTCACCTGTCATCCCCCCCTTTTTTTTGCGCAATTAAGAAACCTGATTTCTCTTATTCTCATTTTGGCTTACTTTTTCGTTCCGATTATACCTTTTTCTTTTCACACTCATGGACTGCACTTGAACACCGGTGGCGGTGCTTGTGTTTCGGTTTCTTGCAATATTCACCCGCTACACCTTGCGCTCGTCGCAAGCGCGACGCGCTCTCGATATAGAGTGCGAGAAATACGAATGGAAGTTCACTCGCACCGATGTGTCTTTTTGTCGAGAATTTTGCGCGATCGCGTTCAATCAGCCTCTAACGCCAAAGATCAACAGATGTACTTATCTTCGGTGGGTGCGCGTAGGTATCCGCAGCGGCGAAGTGACACCCAACAGCCCGTCCCGACCGCACAGCTCGATGAGTCAGCAGAGTGCCAGCAGCGTGGGCAGCAGTAACGTCAATCTGCGTACCCGCACGACAGCGTCGCGCCGACCGCGGCCTGCTTCTATTGCCGGTACCGGTGTCTCGGTCACAGAGAAACACAGTGAGCATGACCATCTTACTTCTCCTTCCACCGACCCTTTCAGATCGCCAAGCATCTGAAGAGAAAAGAAAAAAAAAGAAAAATAATTCATACAGGCCAAATTTTTAATTGACGGAAATCACGGAGGATGTTAGAGTATTGAATTGAAAAAAATGTAAGCAACATCGCACGTTTATCTGTAATCTAAATTTACATCTCCTGAAAGGGTTCGAAATGCGTACGGCATGTTATACATCTCTGGTGCGACAAAGAAACTGTAAGGACGTTTCGGCGTTATTTGAAATTTTTTCTTCGTACATATATTTCCGGAATAATTTGTGTGAAATTTATATTTTCAATTACTTTTACTATTTTTTTATATTATTTTTTTATATGCATTCCCAAATTTTTGTACATATTATTTTTCTTGACGACTCAAAATTGCACACATGTAAATAGTGTATATAGATAGACTCCGCGTAGCATATGGGAGAGAAAATATTCCGATTGCTCTTGTTATCGCAGATCTGGTGGGTGAAGTGAAATTAACGAAGGATTCAAAGCCACCACTGCCAAAGGTCCATAGCACTCCAAAGAAACCTTCCACGCCCAAAGCTACGGAGATGAAGAAGCCGACGGAGAAGTTAATCAGGAACGCCAGGTCGTCACCGCGAATAACTCCCAAGGCGACACCCCTGCAGAGTCCTGGAGCTGAGCACGCGCCATTTATCCGCGAGACTCATGCGGAGATCATAAAACAGAACGAGAATAAGGACATGCAGGATGTGAAATTTGAGGACAAGAATGAGGAAAAGAAGGATCAGGGCAGCGAAAAAGCGCAGGTAAATTTCTTTTTATGTCTCTGTTTTGAAATAAACAATCTTTTTTGTGTCTTTGAAATAAAATAGATTTCCTTATTTCCACGTTTTGTTATATAACATTTTATTCATTATTAGACACTGGAATCTTATACTATAAAAATTGGAAGGCCTAGGAAATTTAGAATTTACATTTTCTTCGCTACAATGCATTGAAATCTTATATTTTTAACAAAGGAATGGTCTAAAATATTAATCAACTGATACTAAAAAGTTGATCTTATTATAAAGAAATGTTTTAAGTTCTTACATAAATTTAATAATTAATTAATTTTTTTATTACCAATAATTACATAGATATAATTATTAACATAAAGATCATTGAATTAAATATGATAAAACGTAAATTTTTAACTTTATTTTAACCAGTTACATTATTTTTGATATTTTTTTCAAGACTTAAATTGCACTCACGTAATGCGCACAACGTTATGTTCTAGTACTATTAAATCGCCAATTCAATTTCAGCAACAAGAGGCGAACGTTACCGAATCCGTAACTAATGATACAAAGATAGCGACAGAGCCTGTGTTGGCAAGCAAACAAGTCAAGGACGAAACTAATTTAATGCAAGAGAATTTGTCGAGCGACGTTACGGAGGAATCGAAAATCGTTAAAAAAGAGGAGAATAAACAAGAAAAGAAATCACCGGAAACAGTCGAAGTCAAGCCTGACAATGAAATAGACGAACAAATTGATATGTCAGGTATGCTTAATCGAAACTTTTTATCAAGATTGCTTGTCACAAGATTGCTCTCCACAACAAGTTGACGATGATTGTCTATTTTTATTTATGAATTGCTTTACAGCTTCGATGATTGCGAAAATCAGAATTACCACCGAAGAGGAAGCCAAAGCCGCTTTGGCTGAGCGTAGAAGATTAGCTCGAGAACAAGCGGAACGAGAAGCGGAGCTTGAACGTCAACGACAGGTACGGTATATAAATTGATTTAACATTAGACAAACTTTGCTTTATTAACTTACAACGATTTCTGCAGGAAGAGGAAGCGCGCCGAGAAGTCGAAAGATTACGCGCAGAGGAGGAAGAACAACGTCGACTGGAGGAAGAAACTATACGCTTAGCTAACGAGGCCCGAGAGGCAGAGGAGCAGCGGTTACAACTGGCAATCGAGGAAGCTAAACGTCGCGAGGAAGAGGATAGAAGAAAAAGGGAAGAGGAAGCTCGTCAGAAGCAGGAGAAGGAAGAAGCGGAGCGCAAAGCAAGAGAAGAAGCGGAAAGGTTGATCTGAAAATTCTTGCATTTTTCTATCTGTTTTGCCGAAATTCAATTCTGATGAATTATATAACCAATGACATCCGTCCGTTTGAATTACAGACAGCGAATCGAAATGGCTGAGAGACTTAAGAAAGAAGAAGAGGAACGCAACGCCAGACGTAAACGTGTCGAGGCCATCATGCTTAGGACGAGAGGCAAAAATCAAAGCAACTCTAGCAAGGTAATATTACACAATTGTTCACATTAATCGTTTGATCAAAATCAAAATTTTACGTATACAAAGCTTTGCCTACAAAATTCCAAAATATTGGACCTATAAATTGGAGGATTAAAAAATAATTTGTCATGGCAAACTTGTGCGCAGGGCGAGGGTGGCGATGGCGATAAATTGAAGGAGGATAGCCCAAGTGACGAGAATAAACCAGTGCCTGGCGGCAAAGGTGACGACGTCATGACGGCCAGTTTAATTTCCGAGGCAACACAGCAATTCATCAGCAGTGAACAACGGGCGCATCACACGGAGAACAACGTGCTTGCGCCGGATATAGTGCACAATGGCACGACGCATAGCAACGGCATTAACGAGAATAAAATCGTATTGGATAATAATCAGGGTAACGTGGAAGGGGAGTTGAACGGTCATCATACGAATCACGGGAACGGTATCAACAGTCAGTCGATTACGCTGGACAATGCCACTGTGTAAGTATGCCAATTCTAAATCACGGATTCGTAAACGCGTTACAACGTCGTCGACCGAGTGGAATCAAATAAATCGTGCGTCTCTTCTCGCTATATCGATCGACAATAATATTATAGTATATATATAGTATAATATTTGCGTCGATAACACGCATTTTTTTTTTTATTTTTACTTGGGCATTGTGTAATCTATAATGCGTGTATTCAGAAGCGCTTGTACGCAACATATGGCTGCTAGAAATCCGATTATTATCCGATCGAAAGATATACAGATATAAAAATATATGAAGAGACGAATATTTCAACGGAATTATCTTCTTGCGTAATTGCGGAAGTATCTTATAAGCACACACACACACATAATAAGAGAAATATACTTCAATAATCTTCTATTATATTTAATTAATCCAAATAGTGATCAGGAAACAACAGGCTAATAAGATGAAAATATCTGTGCTATAATAAATTTCTCGATTTCTTGCAGTTAACATTTTTTATAAGACAAAAATAAGTGCACAATACCATCCAACATACTATTTGTTCAAAACGGACTGATTACTAATTAATCGAAAACGACGTCGGCCGCATAGCTGCTCGATCACGAAAGACTCAAGCGTATATATATCATACGTGTAAGACAACTGAATTAATTCGCAATAACTTTCAAATGTTGCATATAAAACATAAACATATAGAAACATTATAGAAAGAAGCCATTAACGCGCTAGGAAAACTTAGAAATAAAATATTATTTCGGCATCATTCGAGAATATCTATATAAAAATTTTCTTGGCATCCTATATAATAGAAACTACAGAATGCGTGCCACATATAAATATATAAATTAAGTATATTGTATGATTTTATTTGTAAATAGATGAGATGAAGGTTCTAAATTGCAATGAACAATCATCGCACTGCTAACAGGTTGATTATTTCAAGTTTTAGATTTGTACGCACGAAAAGGAATTCTGTCAGATTCCAAAATAGCAATTATTTGAACCTTCATTTGTGGCTGGATTGTGAGTGTAAAATTATTAGATGTATTTTTAAAGGCCTTATTGTGTCGAAGGCCCCCTGTATATATAAGAAATTACGATTGAGATGTTGTTTGAGACGTGTCTTGTAATGTCAGTTAACTATTCAAGTAAATTAAGTTTCAAAGTTATAAAGTATACATATGTACGCATAATTATTAATAGTTATTTAGTAACAGAGTTAACTACTCTGCGCTTTCCTGAGGCTCCTTTTGTGAAGAAACTGCCTATCGACATAAATTTCACCGAACTTTTATCGCTTCATGCAAATGTTAGGGGATAATCCACGCATATTGTACATTGCAAAAGTAGTCAGAGTGACGGTTGACGAATATAATAAACAACATGCCATTGCGACTCACCATGTACGATACGATTAGCTGCACGATTACCAACGTATTAACAATGACTCTCATACGGGACACTATATAATTGCAGTGATAACGTGATTGCAGGTAGAAATATATATTGTATCATCTCTATTATGATAATTACATATATTTTATAATTGCTATTCTCAGCTGTGTATTAACGACAAATATATTATTTTTAGCTAGGATTATCAAAAATACCGGAATTTAATCGCGTACGTACTCTGATCGTTTTTAGTTATTGTATCAACGAGTTGGAGGAACGTCATGTAATACCGTACATAAAGCATGAAATTAAGAATCACTAACAAAATTACACACTTAGCGTTAAATTACACGACAAATGAACCTCAGTGTACATAATGTAAAGAGAGACGAGCAGCATAAAATCTAATGACTCATCGAAACGTTTCGTTTTCTGATTTCATAACACACTTATTAGCTCAGCAAGGATGCGTAATATTTATTAGGCATTCGCGTGATAAATGACACCGATAATCATAAATACATGGCAGTAAACACAATATCAGCATTTTTGTATTATATTATGTCATCTTTGCTAAGCACTTCTCTGATCTTTTTCTCCTTCAATTAGGTATTAAAAAATATTTTCCCATTTACCGATCCATTGTGTATACCGTAAGTGCGGATTAATCTTCGCAACAAATTCTGCAAATCACTAATGCATGTTACCAACTAACGTTGATATGGTGTGGCTTGTTCTTCCTTGCACAATAATTGTCTGCGTACGTCCCTCATGCTTGTGTATTGTATACCATTAAACGGTATATGTCAACTTACTGTCTACTTTTGCTATGTACTATTTATCTTCACGTGTTTTCCATGGGAAGACGTCTGTTCGCACACATACACACACCACATCTACAAATAGCACACGAAGGTATCGAGAAAAAAGAAGACGGAAAAAAAGGAAGTCGTGGCATGAATTTTCTTCTCTGATGTGCCTTCATCTGATGTCGACGAATTCAATTTTCTGTGTGATTTTTTATGTAATTAGATCCGTATTTACTGTTTTGCTGTAATATGTCTAGCGGATTATGATTATTATGGTTACACAGTTGACGTATCGATTTAACGTATTCTCGTAGTACCTTATTTAAATAGAAACCTGTTGCGATCCATATTTACTATAATACACACAGTTACATGTCAATAATTTTATTCGACCACACACAGACGAAAGAATTGTATCGCTAAACAGCAAAGGACCGCAAAAGGTTGTGGACTATTTCGGTTAGTACTTTGACAGATTCAATCGCTTATAATAGCTGTTTCAATAGTCAGAATAGTTGCCTCCCGAGGCGTTTAAAGTCTATTTGGAAAGCAGTCATATGATAAATCATGCAGAAGAAACGACGCCTAATAATCGCTTTATATTTATTCCATATTCATTATTTAGTTATCTTTATCTGGCTTCATATCGTTCAGTTGACGACGTTTTTAGATGTATCTAGAGCCGCGACTATGTTCCTGTTCGATAAAGTTCGAATCCGTTTCGTTTTAGTGATCCGATTGTCTGAAGATGTTAAGGAATCGCCCGCAATCGGCTTAGCTAACTTAGCGGCGGCGATTTCGTGTTAGTGGTCGTGGATAGTCGCTTAAGTCGTAGTCCCTAGCGTTCGTTTGGCTGTCAACTTAGTCTATGTATGTTTTTTCCTTTGGCTGATTTTGTAGCAAGCAAAACAACGTGACCAACAACCTGTTAGACCTGTCGGACTTCGACACTCTGAGTAATAACAGTACCGGCTACAACACTGGGCCGATACTCGAACTGACGCCCAATTTGGCGAACGAAGACACCCTCAACTCTAATCTGAATCCGACGGCGATGCCGTTTACCCCGATGGGGTTCGTGCCCACCGCCGCAAACGCCAATGTCAATCCGTTCCAAGACAATTTCATCAACAACAAGCCGCAAGATAACAACCAAGTACCAGGTATGTGAGGCAAATCAGTACAATTGTATTCAAGACGTCTCAAGATTGTGGCTTCTTTTAAAAAGGAGAAATATATTGTAGTGTGTTTGCTAAGTTGAGACACTCTACATATTATATGTTAGCTAAATAAACTATTTTTTACACCAGAAAAATGTTTGTTTGCTGCTAAACACTTTTTGTTTCCGTTTCTGTCCACAGATCTTTTGTCATAAAGTGTCTCGTGAACCGGATGAACAGAGAAGAAGCAGTTAGATAATCGATAGCCAAATTGCTCGTGTCGAGCGATAGCTATATCCAGAACGGGACGTCGTTTATGATTATGTAAATAACCGCCGTCGCGCAATATATATCGTGTGTAGAAGGAAATATCTAAGTGGAGCGTGGAGAAGAGCGTCGCATCGGACACAGACCATTCCCGGGCTCCCCCCCCCCCCCTCCGAGTTCTGTGCGTCGTCACCGGGAAAGAGGAAGTGTAAAATAATATATAATGTTAATTAATTATTACGCAACAGCAAGTGTGGACACTTAGTCTGCGTGTCGTAGTATGCTATTAGATGGATATATAACTTTCTAAAGGACCTTCGGAAGAGGTTTGAGGCCTGTTTATAACACATCATTTTCGGATACATAGACGTATTCTACGGTAACAAGTCGATATATGAAATTAATTTCTCTCTATCGCATAAACACACGCATATACATACACACGGTTTCGCCCTTATCACACATACACACGTGTAGATTACGAGTAAAAATTTTTGACGCGTTGATCGGTAGAAACGAGAGAAGTGGAAATCGCGCGGAAAGGAATACAACGTACGGATATACATATAGCACAAGACGCAAAAGAAGGAAAACAAAAGACGGAGTCAGACGCTGAGAACGTATCTGCCAAAATGACGGATTAGAGAATATCTCTAACATAAGAGATAGCGTAATAAGATACTACCTTAGCAACTCTCTGTGGGAAAAGTAGCACAGGCAGAGAAAAAGGAAACACTTTTCTTCCAGATTTTGGGGCGTGCGCTCACTAGTCAAGCAATCTTATTGTTTTTTTTTTTCTTCTCTTTCCTCTCTTTTTATCGTATTTCGTTTAGAAGGCCTACTTAACATTGGTGTACCCTAGGTAACCGCTAGACTTCACTATTGTTACATTTCTTCGTGGATGGAACATAAATTCTCTAGCTGTGATGAGAGATGACGATGATGATGATAATAACGATGACGATGATGATGATGATGATGCTGATTGCTTTGTGAGATAGCTGCTGCATAAGAAGTTAAAGTGGCGATCTAGTAACGTTAATTGTAAGAATTGTTATGCGAGAAATGTTACGGATGGTCACACGCAGGATTAATCGGGATTAATTGTGTTTAATTTGAAAGGCAAACACGATCGATTATTGCAACGTTAATGCGCAGCGAAAACCGGATGTCGCTGTATTATTCAAATGGTGCGAGTTACTTGTCATTATTTGAAACATAACAACATTACGAAACGTGGATATTAGTAAAATGCTTTACATTTTCGCACGATGTCATATAAAGCTCGGCGATAGATTATTTATAACGAGAATAGGAAGTCCAATATTTCTGTTATCTTGATTTTATTCGGAAAAACACGGTCGAGAGAGAGACTTTTATCAACACTAGAGAAAGATAGGATTAATGTACAGATTTTACGTACTGTTTGTTATTTGAATTTTCTCGTACGAGATTTATTCCCCTCTCCCTGTCGCTTTTTATTATTCGCATTTTATCATAATCAACATAAAGGGTTTGTCGAACTGAATGTGGTGTGAGTTGAAAATTTTCTCGTCAACGTCGTTTTTGTTTAAATTCGCGATTTTCCCTTATTTGCATTTGAATAACATTGCAATTTGTTTTTTTTCGGGCGACGGGAGATTTGTTGTCGTCTGCAAACAATTGATACATTTTTAATTAAACGATTAAGATATTCGATTAAAAGATCGAGCGATTAATACGTATTTTTATCGAGAGTTGTTAAAGCGAGCATGTTTGTACAGGCGCATGTTGCACATTGCGAGTCACTATTGACGCACCGAGAATATTCCGATCGTTAAGAGGAAAACAAAACAGGAAAAGCATATACAGAAACTATGCATGCGACAGATTTATTGACAGTTTGGGCGTTTTATCGCTCGTTCTCACACGAGAAATTGTTTCTGCGTTTATCCTGTAAAAATTTCAATGCCGTAACGAGTTGCAGTCGCCTCTCATTCGTTACGACTTATTGTATCAAACTTATTTATGTTAGCTTTTTTTTCTTTTTTGACAGATATATTTATTTAACCGTTTGGACACCGTATATTACTCTTGCGTCACGTGTACACTCACTATTTTTATTAGATAATTTTTGGTTGAGACTCTATTAAAACTATTCTATAAGAATACATAATAATAATAATAATAATACTTGAATAGAGTACGAGAGAATGTTTCTAAATATACAATAACGAAAAAAATGCTAAATATCATCAGTCATGTCTAAAAAAAAAAAAAACAAATAATTCATATTGTAAAAATGCTTGTATGTAATAAATACTTAATACTGAAAACTGCAGTTTATCTGTGTTATACACATTCCTCTTTGAGATCCTATGACACTCGCATATGGTTATTTCGCCCAATATTAACATTAATTGTCCCACCCCCGTGGAACATCGGCGATTAGTATCAACTGCAGTTGTTGCCGCCGTTTGTAACGGCAACACACGACGCGAACACCCCTACATTTCCCGCTACCCTTTAGACCTTTGCCTTACCAAAACTAACAGATACTCTCTCTTAGTAATGTGAACTCGCAAACCTCACGCGGTGAAATACGACGCAGCCACGGAGATGCATCGTGGATGCAATTCGTCCCTCGAATTTTACACTCGCAAAAACTAATGCCCGTATTCTCACGCCTCTCGTGGATACGCTCTCATGCTGTTTCTTCCTTTCTAATGCAGAGAATAGTTCCCCGTAGCAGACATTTTCTCCCTTCGAGAAGTCTCCCTTCCCCCTCAATTATTCATACTTATCCGGAGAGTCGTGTCCGACGAAGTACAGTCTCGACATAAGGGCGACTTTTTGGTTTTTCACGATCCTCCAAATCTTTTTCTTTCGTTTTGCAAGAAGTTTATAAAGTTACTTTAACTATTATTAGAAAATATTGCCGCAGAGAAATTTAATAAACGAAGAAATTGCAAATTGCGGAATGCAAACGTTATAGGATAAAAGTAAGATTGTTACAAACATGTTTTGTCTTTTATAATTATTATGAAATTTTCAGTCATTATTTTAGTATCGATATTTTTTAAATTAATATTAAATTAATGAAAAACGTATATAATTGTTAGATCTCAAAAACCATAGTTCAAGAAAAAATAATATTTAACGAATGTGTTACACGAATATTTGATATAATTTTCAAACAATAGAAGCTCAATATTGTAATGATCAAAACTTGCATCTTTGCGTGAAGCGCAATCATGTCATTAAGAAAATTTACACGATGCAATTACCTGTTTGCCTGCACAATCGTCGTCCCGGTTAATGTTAATGCCATTAGGTGTGTAACGGCAGTCGGAAGAGCGGACAGAATCGTTTGTTTACTTCGTTTCTTCGCGAGAGAAGCGAGGCAACAGGAGAAGTTCCAGCCTGGGGGTTCGTAATCCTGCGCACCACGGGCGTAAATTAATTAATCAAACGACGTAATACGCAGGCTCCTTTTGCCGCATTATTATGGCGAGACGAGGCGAAAAGGATCGCCACAGGGCAAAATGAGGATTTTGGATACGTGCGCAGCATCCTGTGGGTCAACGTTCCGTAAAATTAAACCGCAGCGCAAAATTAAACCTTTGCACACTGCGTCGTTCGCACAACTAATATTTAGTTTATAAATATGTATATAAGATACGTAATGTTAAAAGATAAACAGTAGGTAGGTAGGTACATTTATATTCTTTAAATATATATTTACAAATCTTGTAGATAATTAAGAAAATAATTTTATCTTCTAATTTATGGACTCTAATCTCATGTATATCTGAAACATGTTGCGAGAGACAATCTCTCGAGATATGATAGTTTATTAGAAATAATTTCTCTTGCATTGTCAACGTTGAGGAAACACAGAGGAGCTCAAATTGATTACTCTCGGTTGTGCTAATTCGAAAGCGAAGGACTAGCGATGTAAACTTGTGCGGCGCGGCGCTCGCACCGGCGCGAATAATATTGTTCGTGCAATTAAGGCGGACGCGCGACACGCAGTAATTCTTCGTTTAGCAAATCCGCGGTATTAATTTCATAAATGAATTTCGCGCGGCCTCCACGCGACGGGAAACGCACATTCGCTTAATGACGGGGGTGGGTCCCCGAATATTGTAATTTATGAACGGAAGAAGTATTCCCCCGTCGCAACGTTTACCCTCTATATGAGATTATGCGTTTTTTTCCCTTGGCGTTCAAATTTTTTATTCGTTCAAGCATTAAATTACTTTTTAAACCTTATTACAATTACGATTATTACAATATTTTATAATTGTATATTATAATTTTGAGATAATTATTTCTCATTATTTATTTATACGTGCAACTCTTATGAGTGAATCGTCGATTATATTTCTCGACTTACTCTACTTCCGCAATTGCCTCGGATAACAACCGTTTGTTATACGCTTTTAGCTTAATATATGCCGGAAATGTAAATCTGCTTCGCGTTTTGCGTGTTCGGGAGAAAGAGACTACGCGAAAGGACGATTGCGAGCTTTCAGGTGCGTAATCCACCGGTCTCGGACCGGCACATTTGCGTTGCAGTCGAGGGGGCGAACAGAGGAGCGTAATTTGCGGGTTGTAATACCGCACCCGTCGTTTGTAACCTGTTCGGGACACGTAAGTACAGCCAAGAGAACAGCACCGGGGAGAGAAGTAACTACGTAACCGCATCGTCTCATTGAGGGGGATGTTTTCCTGGTTCTGAAACGGATGTAACTACTACCGCCCGTCTACGTGGCACCCTCGGAAAACGCATAGGGGTACTCGATCACCGCCGGTTTCATTCCATTTGTGGCGTTGCCGCCACTGCTTCAGAGCCTCGTCTAAATAATATATTACAGGCGGCTGTTTAACATTATAACAGCCGCTTGTGGCAGTCACAAACAGTCCGCAATGAAGTATTTCTTTGATGACTTTCCCCGTCTTTGGCTAAAAAAATCATCGGAGAGAGTGTGCGAATGGAAGAGAGATATATCACGATCTTACAAAAGCGTTTAGATGAATTCGATTATTTCTGTATTATTTTAATGAACAATTAATTAAAAAGTCTCATTCTTTTCAAGTAAGATAGTGAACTGGAATTTTTGTTTTTCAAGTTTTCGAAAAGTCTAACAATGTTATAAAGAAATAATTTAATTCTCTCGCGACAGCTAAACGCGAGTATATCAGCTTGAAAAACAACAATATCCGGGAACGATATTCATATCTCACGCAATGCTTGCGCTTTGAACGTGGATTTAGGAAGCTGCGCCGAGATATATCCTCATTACCTTCCCGGTTCGGAGCAAATAAAGGCCAGGTAAGGGAACGGCGAGAGGGCTCGCGGGGCTCGGGACGTCGAGTCTCGAAAGATTCAAATGAAATTCCGCGCTTCGGTTTACGGGCATGCTCGATTTAGCGGGTGGCTCGACGGCGAAGGCGAAAAAGGTGCAACCCCGGCTCGGGGTGGGATGCATTCATTTTGCACGGGTCATAAGGCCTTCTCGCGCGCGCGATGCAGGCGAAAGAGGCAGAGGGGCCCGGGACTCCTCCACCGAGGTTACTGCACTTCGGGGACGAGTTATCCTCCCTATCAGCTACCAGGAATTTTCGCCCGAGCGTTCTCCAGCGAATTCCCGAGAAAGCGCAAGCTGCTTTCGCAACGGACGGTTTCGCAGCTGCGAGATAACGCTTCAAGATCGCGATTTAAATTTCCGGATGCGCCGTACGTTCGTAAGCGAATTTATGAATAAATTATTAATACTATCGCGATGCAGATATAAACAGTTAACTTAACAACTGATCCCTTTCAAATTGAATATTTTTTTGTAAAATTTCTTGCAAGTTAAAAGAAATTATAAAATTAGAAGCTTTTTATAATTTTGTAATAAAATTTTTCTTTGGCGCAGCAACTAGTTTTGAAATGGATATTCTCGCTGGCTGCCATTTCACGCAGCTGCAACGTTCTTAGACGCTTGTGCACCAATTAGGAAGTAAAAAAAAAATTAACTCTTGCAGTAAAAGAATAAACTCGTGAAAAACGAGGCTGAAGAATCCGCCGTCGCATCACAGTGGGTGCTCAAAAACGAAATGGTGGGCAGAAGAAAGGCGAGGTGAGAGAAAAGGTAGGACGAAAAAGCGGAAAAAGCGAAGGCATCAAAGGGGAAGAAAGAATTGGATTCGCGGACGAGGGCGCAAAAAGAAAAGCACCGCTTTATGAAAGCATCTTTTTGTTCCGCCACATGGACAACACTTGTCCCGCGATCCTAGAAAAATGTACCTGCCTCTCTCGATAGGATACAACAGCGATCGCAGAAGGATTGAGCACGTGGAATTTCTGGCAGCGATATCAAAACGAAGCGCTTCGATCCCTTCGTCCTGTCGACTACTCTATACTTTTTAATCGCACCGCGTCCAAGATCTCTTTTTCTTTTTCTTTAGGCGCAATAAAGATTCAATGTGCCTTGACTGCACAATCTCGTAGGAATTATTGTTTTTGCCTTAAAATTATCAGTAGGTTATAATTGTCAATCATCATCAATTTAATAATAGCTTGTCCACAATGTTCTATGTATTAAGCTAAGATATCTGAAGATAATGTTTCAATCAAGTTGATCTTATCGAAATATCTCAATAACATTTCCTGCGCCAAATTCTATTATTTCCGAATAAATGATCCATTTTATCGATATAGTTTTGTGCGGCAGAAATCCACGGAGTTCGTATAGCAATGTTATTTTCCGTGAAACTTTCCCGAAGTCGTTGACGTAGTAAAGTACGCAAAGTATTCTAAGATATACGAAAATCGAAGAAAGAGTCGCTGACTTCCAAGCAGACGAAAACGTTGAAAGCACTTTTGGACAGGCATCATACATTTATATCCTCCAGATCTGTGATTGTTTTTCCATCGCGCGCAGCATGCCAGAGCACTTTTCCTAGGTTCGGGAATATGAATCCATTAGCACCCATTATCGCGTTTTCATTAGCATTCCAACGTATCGACGCGCGTCGCGTCGTAATAAAAATGCACGTGTAAAAGTCGGGAAAGTTTTATCATTATCGTCGAAATCTGTTATGTACTTTTTGAGCAATTTTATCGATCAGAATCACTTCGTTTAATCTATCATCACTTCCAGAATGATATTACTAGTTACTACAATA